TCTCATAGACTGCTGGTCGGACTGTCAAATGGTACAACCACTGTGGAAAGCAGTATGGCAATTCCTTCAAAAGTTGGAATTAGAAATACCATTTGACCCAACCATTCCATTACTAGGTATATATCCTAAAGAAGTGACAGCCAGGACAAGAACAGACATATACACACCCATGTTCATTGCAGCACTATTTACAACAGCCAAAAGACAGAAACAACCTAGGTGTCCATCATCTGAAGAACAGATAACCAAACTATGGTACATACACACAAAGGAATACTATGCAACCCTAAAGAATAACCTAGAATCTGCAAAACACCACATAACGTGGATAAACTTGGAGAACATTATGCTGAGTGAAATAAGTCAATCACAGAAGGATAAATATTGTATTAGTCCATTATAAAAAATCAAGGAAAGGTTTATATAGGGGAAGATATTTTCTTTGTTATTTACTGGGGGGGGGGAGGGGAGGGGAGGGAATACTGTTAGATAGGTAGAGACAAGTATTGATTTCAGTGAAGAGAAGGACAATGTACCAAATGTGAGCAATCAATACAGTGGCATTGAGGGAGACATAGAAAGGGGTATGGGAGGTACAGACAATAAAGATGAACTCTTTTGCACATACAGTACTGTGTTGTCAGTGAGGGCAAACATGGATATACGGGTGGATAGATGGGTGGACAGGCTGAACTATTAGGTATGTCTATGCAGTGGGGAGTGTGCCCAAGACCATGTATAGGTTGTTTCTACAAGTGTATTGCTATGTTTTATAAGAATTCCCAAGTGGATAGCAGAGATGACAAGGGACAAGGTTGTAGTCACTTCTTGGGCACAGCCAGCTACCCAGAGGGAATGAGTAGCTGGACCTGTGGGTTTGGGACCATAGTCATAGGGGATATCAAGCTCAAATGGCATAACATACTACACAAAACATTGTTCCACCTCCTACTTTGGTGAGTAGCAATTGGGATCTTAAAAGCTTGCAAGCAGCCATCTAGATGCAACAATGTGTCTGTCCTCATCCAGAGCAAAGAAGAATGAAGAAAACCAATGATTCATGGAAACAATCAGTCCAAGTGACTGGTATACCTTGCGATCCTCAGCCTATCCAACTATGAAACCAGAAGAACTAGATGGTGTCCGGCTACCACTGTCGACCATTCAGAGGGGGATCTATGTAGGAGATCCTGGATAGAGTGGGAGAACAATGTGGAATAAAACTCAAAATCATTTGGAAAAAAAAAAAGGGACCAGGTTTTCTGGTCTGATAGAGCCTGTGGAACCATTTAGACTATGGCCCCTAGCTGCCCTTCAGGTCTGGAATTGAACCCATACCTGTGGCTTCCAGCCAAACAAAAGACAGGCATATGAGGTGAACATTTACCTGAGGTAGATACACACCTTGGAGAAAATAATCATGGGAGAATAGAAGGGCTGTAGATGCACAGGGACATAGCTCAGGGGACAGGAGTGCATGAAGGGAAGGACATAGGGAAGAGATAACTATGGGGAGGAAGTGGAAGGGGAGCTGTTACATTGTGGGAAACTGTAGTCAATGTCATGAGACAAAGTGCATGTGAACTGCTGTATGGAAAGTGAATTTGCTCTGCAAACTTTCACCCAAATCACAATTAAAAAAAAAAAAAAAGCCAGGGGAAAAAAAAAAAAGGAAGGGAATCAAAGCTTTCACATGAAGGGTTTGGGACCATACTCAACTGGCATAACATGCTACACAAAAACACTGTTCTACATTCTACTTTGATGAGTAGCAACTGGAGTCTTAAAAGCTTACAAGCGGCCATCTAGATGCAACAACTGGTCTCTCCTCATCTGGAGCAAAGAAAAATGAAGAAAACCAAAGACACATGGAAAGAATTAGTCCAGGTGGACCTTGTGAATCTCAGCATATATAAGACCAGAAGAACTAGATGGTGTTCTGCTACCACTGTCAACCACTTGAAAAGGGATCGGTGCAGGAGATCCTGGATATAGTGGGAGAACAATGTGGAACAAAACACAAAATCATAAAAAAGACCAGGCTTATTGGTCTGATAGAGCCTGGTAAGACCCCCGAGACTATGGCCCCTAGTTACCCTTCAGGCCCTTAATTGAACTCACTCCTGTGGCTTCCAGCCAAACAAAAGACAGGCATTACGGTGAACATTTACACCAGGTAGTTAAGTTCCTTAGAACAATCAACCATGGGCTATCAGAAGGGCAGTATTTGCACAAGGGATAGCTCAGGGGGCAGGAATGCATAGGAAAGAAGGACACAGAGAAGAGGTAACTACAGGGAAGAAGTGGGAAGAGAGTTGTTACATTGTAGGGATTACAGTCAATGTCATCAAAGAAAATGTGTATGAACTGCTGTACGGAAAATGAATTTGCTCTGTACACTTTCACGCAAGTCACAAAAACTAGGAAAAAAAAAAAAAGCCAACAAACTTTCACCTAAAGCTGTTGTTTTGTATGTATGACTCTCACTGCCACTCATGAGTGTGGGGATGTGGCTGCTCACCTGTACACGACTCCAGCAAGAACAGAACCTGCTGCAGGTCGGACTGACAAAGGTCCAGGTCACTGCGTGCTAGCTCTAGCTCCCCCTTTAGCACCAGGAACAGGGCGCACCTTGATGGGAGAGGAGGTAAGAACCATCAGTGGAATCCTTTGTGTTCCTGGAGATTCTTTCTCTTTGCCCTTTCTTTTCCCAAGCAGGGCCATCAGTCTTTCCTTCCTCCAAAAGCCTTCACTACCTAAGCTGAGTTAAAGGCTCCTGGGGAAAGCTCTCAGCTTTTTTGTCTCATCCTAACTCATCCTTATGCATCAGGGCAGAGTTTCCCAAACTGCATTTCTTGAAACAGAAGAATCCCGTGGGCAAACAGATTTCGGGAAACAAAGCGTACAAGAACTTCTTTTGGAGATTTACAATGTGTACAGCATATCATAAGCCAGGAATCTTACAGGAAATTAAAAAAACATCTAATCTTGATTAACCCAGTATTTTCCACTTATTTAGCCATAGAATACATTCTTCCACCAAAACTCCAAACAGAACATGTGAACATGTGGAAAGTTTGAGAACCCATGGTCAAGGGAACATGGCCCTCAGGTCTCAGAACTGGCATCTCTTGGGCGTTGCACTCACTGGCGTGGTATCTGTAGCTTCATTGTCAGTTTTAGGGCCTCCAAGCAAAAGGCCTTGGCTTCACTCACACAGCCCAGGTGGCCCAGGCGGGAGACAAGTTTTTCTGAGCAGCTCAGCACCTCTGTAAGAACCTGCCACTTTTGTACCAGATTTTCACCTGTAGCAAAGAGACAGGATCAGCATCACTTAGTCACAGCCCACATTCTCTGGAGATGAAACTGCCAGCATCACCATCCATTCCCACAGGACCCTGCTTTCTTCCTGAGACTCACCATAGTCCAGAAATGGTGTCTCCACGACTGCTTTTTGAACTGAGAGCACATCACTGCCCATCAGCAGGAGGATGATGCTTCGGAGGAGCTTATGGGAGTCAATGAGCGCCACCTCCGGTGTCTGCCAGCCTATGGTAGGTGAGGCAGAGAAAAGAAGGGAGATGATATGGCCAGAACTTCCTCAGCTCATGTGAACCAGCAGATGGGTCAGGAGTCTATCTGGCATAGAGAAGAAGGGGCTGGAAAAGGAAGATAACCATCCACCACCTCTAATTACCAAGATAGCAAACACAAAACACACTGCACCGAAGGCAGACACAGCTGACCGATCATGGAACTCTTTCCCTCTGGGCTCACATGGAGTCCCAGAATCCTTCTCAGTATAGTAATCCAAAACCAAATAGAAACCCAGGGCTATCCAGTTGATTCCAACTCATAATGACCCTACAGGACAGAATAGAACTGCCCCCTAGGGTTCCCAAGGCTGTGAATCTTCATGGTAGCAGACTGCCTCATCTAGAGCAGTTGGTAGTTTTGAACCAGCATGGTGCCACTAATGCTCCTATAGTAACCCAAGAAGTCACTAATTAATCAATCATTCAGTCTGCAGGTGAATTACAACCTATTTTTTTCCTAGGCATCCTAGGTCCACTCTGTGCAGATTTTCTAGGTAGGCCAGTCCACACAGCTGGGCAGCAGAGAGATGCAAGCAGAGGATAGATGATAGGATAAACCACAGACACTGTCCAAGGAGGGCCAGCCACCCCATTTATTCACCTTGGGCACAGAGCTGCTCCCACAGGGAGACTGGGAGGCTGTTTGAGGAGAGGCTAAGGTAGTCTGCCACCAACTGTAGGGCCTGGACACGCAACAAGTACCAAGCCTTAGATGACTTCTGCAGGGCAGGATCCCGAAGCACAGACAGCAGCAGAGAGACACCCTCAGTCACCTGGGAGAGGGGAGAGCCGGCAGAGAGCATGAGGAATCAGATGAACATTTCAGAGTTTGAGATGCCTTTTGAGCTCGCGCGACCCAATCTCCTGCTTTTAAGAACAATTAAAGTTGTCCAGAAAGCTAGAGCCTGACAGGGTGCAAGGCTTGGCCACATCACGCAGCTTGCTTGTGAGAAAACTCAGGTCTTTTGGATCTCAGTGCCTTCCCAGAATAACCACCATCCCAGTTTCTAGTCAGAGGACAGACTTTGCCCCTGAGGAAACTGGGAAAGAAAGAGTATCTCTACTAGAGGAGAACTGGTGAACAATTACTGGAGCGGGCCAAGCTAGGAAATGTTTCCCAGGGACAGGGGCTTTCTTCTTAGCTCCAGGGAAATCTCAGAAAAATATCCAGAAAATTCTGAGATCCTTCCAATACCCAGGACCTTCAGGGATTAAGGAAGTGAGAAATACCTTCTGGGTAGTACAGCAGAGTTTACTTTGAAGTACATCACAGGTCAGGGTAAGGAGCAAGTATGTGTCGCTGGTCTGATCGAGAAGCTTCAAGCTTGATTTTGCCTCTTGTAGGTATAACTGAGGAAACAATCAGAGGGTGAGTAAGCACACTGGTGAGAAGAGGTGGCCAGTCAGACCCCTCAAATATCATCTGTTAAAGCATTCACAAGTGAAATGTTAAACATCTACAATGAAATATTAACTACTTCAAATCCTGCAATCTGTTTTGTTAGCTGCCACTGAATCAATTTCGACTCATAGGGACCTTATGTACAACAGAACAACACACTGCCCTGTCCTGCGCCATCCTCACAATCGTTGCTATGTTTGAGCTCACTGTTGCAGCCACTGTGTCACTCCATCTCATTGAGGGTCTTCCTCTTTTTCACTGACCCTCTACTTTACCAAGCATGATGTCCTTCTCCAGGACTGGTCCCTCCTGATAATATGTCCAAAGGACATGAGACTAAGTCTTACCATGAGACAAAGTCTCACCATCCTTGCTTTTAAGAAGCATTCTGATTGTACGCCTTTCAAGACAGATTTGTTAGTTCTTCTGGCAGTCCCTGGTATAGTCAATATTCTATGCCAACACCGTAATTCAAAGGCATCAATTGTTTAGTCTCCTTTATTCACTGTCCAGCTTTCGCATGCATATGAGGAGACTGAAAATACCATGGCTTGGATCAGGCATGCCTAATCCTCAAAGTAACATCTTTGCTTTTTAACACTTTAAAGAGGCCTTTTGCAGATTTTCCCACTGTGATACATTGTTTGATTTCTTGACTGCTACTTCCATGGGTGTTGACTGTGGATCCAAGTAAAATGAAATCCTTGACAACTTTAATATTTTCTGTTTCTCATGATGTTACTTGTCCAGTTGTGAGGATTTCTGTTTTCTTTATGTTAAAATGTAATCCATACTGAAAGCTATAGTCTTTGATCTTCATCAGTAAATGCTTTAAGTCCTTGCAAAAAAGACAAGAAGGCCACATGTTCTGACCTCCTCTAACCCCGTAAGAGGAAGACAGAATCACTATCAGTAACCCAAGGCCTATTACTACAAGACCAGACGTGCTGCCTCCCTCTAGCCCTTTCACCAACTGTTCCTCCCAAAGCACCCACCACCTCTCTCCTGGGTTCGATAATTCACAGCAGTGACCACATAGAACTCACAGATTACAGGGGTTATTAGGGAAGCATCAGGCTACGATTCAAGTTCAGGAAAAACGCTTAGTCTCTCTCCCAGCCCACAGTCTCTCTCCCAACAGTGAGTGTCCCTCGGTGTCTCACTCAGCAATGCGTGTCTCTTTCAGCAGCATGTCTTCCTCAACCAGCAGTCAGAGAGGGACTTCTTCTGCCTCTACGAGGCCTCCTTTTGAGCCTGGCAGAGTGGCCAAACTAACCAATCATAACATCAGAATTCTAAGCACCTGAGAGAACAAGAACCTCCCAGAACATTGTTTTGTGTTGCGCCCAACAGAAATACCCCAGGTGGATAACTTTTACAATCAGGAGCTCCTCAGTTGCTCACAGCAAATTCCACCACAGAGTTTACAAAGACTTATGGCTAGAAAAGCCACACTAAGTAATTTACAACACCACAGTCCTCTTCAATTTCAGCAAGCAAGGCTGTGTCATCTGTATATCACAGGTTGTTAACGTGTCTTCCTCTAATCCTGATGCAGCATTTTTCTTCATAAAGTTCAGCTGCTTGGATTATTTGCTCAACATACAGATTAAGTAAGTAAAAAAGATACAACCCTGATGCACACATACATTTCCTGATTTTAAACCAGCATCTCCTATTCTTTTTGAACAACTGTCTCTTGTCTACACAAAGCTTCCACATAAGCACAATTAAGTGTTCTCAGACTTCTTCCTTCAAATACCCTCAGTTCTTGATCATATGCTACCTCCTGAGATGGCTGAATATCGATCAATTCTTTTTGGAACAGTGACTGTGTATCCTTCCATCTTCTTTTGATGCTTCCTGCATCATTCAATATTTTGCTGACAGAATCCTTTAATATTATGACTCAAGGTTTTAATTTTTCCTTCAGTTCTTTTAGCTTGAGAAATGCTGAGTGTGGCATTCTTCCCTCCTGGTTTTCTAACTTCAGGTCTTTGCACATTTCATTACAAGTCTTTACATGGTCTTCTTGAGCCTTTGAAATCTTCTGTTCAGCTCTTTTTCTTCATCATTTTTTCTGTTCACTTTAGCTATTCTACATTCAAAAGCAAGTTTCATTGCAATCTACGTTGGAGTTATTCACTCACTCTCTCACTCACTAAAATGTTCAGTAAACACCTTTGGGTTAAACATTGTGCTAGCAAGATGAAACTAAATAAAGAGCAAACAGGCCCTATCCCCTATTAGTTTGTAATGCAGTCGGGGTGCAGTCAAGCATAAGTAATCATGACACAATGCCAGAAATGCTGTTTAGGACTATGAAAGAGTATGTAAAAAATGCTTTAGAAAGGAGGGGACAATTCAGCTATGCCTTGAAAAGAAAGTACAGGTTTGCTGAATGAAACAAAAAAAAAACTGGGGGAAAGGGTGCATTTAGGATGAAGGGACTTGCATGACCAAACACAAAGCAGCATGTACCCACCCACTGCCTTTGAGTCAATTCCAGCTCATAGTGACCGTATAGGACAGAGCAGAACTTCCCCGTAGGGTTTGCAAAGCTGTAAATCTTTACAGGGGAGCTCTGGTAGCATAGTGGCTAAGGCACTTGACTGCAAACCAGAAGGCGGGTGGTTCAAACCCACCAGCCACTCCTCGGAAGGAAGATGGGGCAATCTACTTCCGCAGTGATACTGCCTTGGAAACCCAAGGAGGGGTCGCTATGAGTCAGGTCTGATTCTATGGCACATAACAACAACAACAACAAATCTTTACAGAAGCAGACTGCCTCATTTTTCTCCTGCAGAGCCACTGATGATGCTAAACTTTTGGTTAGCAGCCACATGCTTTAACCATTGCACCACCAGAGGTCCTTGAAACATATACGAAACCAAAGAACCAAACCCACTGCCATTGAGTCTGGTATAGGTGTAGCATAAGGTTCTTGGTAGGAAGGAGAAAGAAAAAGTGTGGGACCAGAATATAAAAGGTATGCAACATAAAGGAAAAGAGGGCAGTATCCTTCAAGTAATGGAGAAGCCACTGGAATCTTTTAAGTAAGTAAGGGGTAATCGGACTTGTGCCTAAGAACATCACTCTAGCAGCAATGAGAACATGAAGTAGAAAAGGGAGAAACTCAAGATAGGGAGAGCAACTAGAGGAGCACTGTAATAGTCCTAGGTGAGTGATGAAGCATCAACCAGCATCAGAAATGGTTGGGAAAGGAAGGATTAGCAGTATATCCCTGGAGCAGAATTGTTAAGATCTGATGAAAAATTGGTTTTACAATGAGAAGGAGAAAGAAGCCTCTTCTTCCCACAGCTGCCCTCTAACAACTTCTCACTTTATAATACTCCAGCAGAATGTAACAGAGAAGCTGCCCCTCCCGTATCTTCTCAAACAAAAGATGGCCCAATAAGGCCAGGTGTCCCCCTACAGCCTCCAGGCTAGGCTGGCTAGGCACTCACCTGGGCATAGCTGGGACAGCCAAGTGTCAGAAGGAGCTGAGTGATGTGGCAGAATGAGCCAGCTGCCTTCGCAGGGTCCTCCAATCTCTTGGAGACGATCCGTAGAAGCAGGAGGACCTCCAGAGCCTGCAAGGGCTGGTCAGCCAAGAGCAGCAATTTTACCCCACTCCCATTTATGATTCCATTTCTACCCTCTGCTCCCAGTCCTTTGGGAACCTGGACTATGGCCTGACCTCAGGGCCTGGACAAAATGTGGCCACATAGAGAAACCATCAGCTACCCTCAGGGAGCCCCAAGATCACCACAGCCAGGGAGCCTGCAAACCAGCCCACCCTGTTCTATTTTAAAGTCTTAGGTGCCAATCATCATTAATAGCAAGGGTTTATTGAGTGCCTATTATGTGCCAGGCATTGTGCCAAGAGGTTTACATGTCTCAACTCAGTCCTCACAGTTAACTCTAATGCCAATTTTACACATGAGGAAAGTAAGATTTCCCATAGGTTAAGATGTTTGCCCAAGTTGACATGACAAGTATGTTATAGAGCCAAGACTCAAATCAAGGGCTGAGGCAGCTTCCCAGGCCCCTGGTGCTAGAAGTATGGCCTAGGCCCACTGTGACCTTTTGTGTGAAAATTCTCTTCTGGAGAGTCCTGCTGTGCGTTCTAAAAAAAGAGCTTTAAGGAGTCTGTAAACCCCTCTGAAATCACACTTAAAAATGTAAAATTGTGTATATTGGCACCTATGGTTATACAGTCTAATAATTAACAGTAAGTAGGGCTAACATTGGAACACTCCATTCATGCAAAATACCTTCCATGCATTATGTCTTTAAATGTTAACAACAACCCTATTAGGTAGGTATTATTTATTATCATCCCTGTTTCAGAGGTGAAGAAACCTAAGGCCACATACTAGTAAATGATGGAGTGTGGATATGAACTCAGGGAGAATGGTTACAGAGCTCACACTCATAATTGCTGGGTTATTTGGCTTCTCAGCAGACTCACAGGGCAAAGAAGGGGAAGGAGCTCAGCTTCTGATCCAGCCCTTTTGTTGTGGATGTCCACCGATGCCCTGCCCCATTACCTTTGCCACCAGCTGATAGAGGGCTGCCAGTATCTGCAGTGAGACTGCTGTCTGCTGGAGACACCTCACGGCTGGGGCCTGTTCCCTTGTAAATACCTCCTTCCATAGGGCCAGGGCTTGGTCCAGGCATTTGGACTGAGCTGTAGGTCAAAAGAATGGGACTAGTCTCCCTCAGCATGGGCCATGTGGGGAGAACTTGGCTTTATCCATAACATTCTCTGCCCTTTGTGCCAGCCTGCCCCCCTACCCCACCCCACCCCAAGGAAAGCCTCTCCCACACCTGGGGTCCCTTTCTGCTTAGTAAGCCATGGTGGAGACCCCATCCCACTGCAGTGCTTTTACTGCCCTCACCAGCATCTGCAGCCAGGTTGAAGGCAATGTTACTGTACAGGAAACGATCTTCCTGGAGTTTATCTTCATAGTTCAGGTCATTGACTTCAAATTCATCCAGGTTGCTAGGGGCCTGGGCTCTCCGATCCCGCTTGATACCCTGGAAGGGATGATCAGGGTAAAAGGGTGGTACCAGCTTACAGGGGCTCAGGGAAATAGTCTTCACACCCATGGCCCCACGGCAGCTATGCTCACTTCCTGCATTTTGGCCTCCAGGGTACAGATGTAGAGCCACAGCAGGGCCTGTGCTTTATCATCCAAGAGCTGATCCTTAGCTTGGGCCTCAGGCCTCACAGACTCCAAAAGCTGCAGGGCTTCCCGGATAGCATCCAGGGCAGAGCTGCAGGGAGAGAATGCACTTAAACTGGGGTCCTGGAAAGGACCTTCTGCAGAATAGTTGGCCTCACACTTTGGATGAGCTTCCATGGCCCCAAACTAAAGGGGACACTTAGAGACACAGAGAAGGAAACAGAGTATGGAAAGGGTAAGAGGACCCAGAGCAAGGAGCAAGAGTGGCCTCCTCAGCTGTTCTTCCTCACCAGTCAGTCTGCTGGCCAAAGTCGTGATAGCAGAGCACCTGAGCCAGTTCCACCAGGTGGGTGGCTCGTGCCCATGCCCCAGCGGGTGTCTCCTCAGGACTCAGCTCCAATAGGTCACAGATGACATTGAATCGTTCCTGCCCAGTGTCAGCCCGCACTGCCTTGTAGGCCTGTAGCTCCTCCCTGAGCAGAAGGCCAAGGGTTTCTAGGTCCCAGCCACTCAGGCTGTCACGCAGAGTCCTGAGAGAGGGGAGGCTCAGTATTAGGTGGAGCCTGTGAAGCAGACAGACACTCTGCCCCTATGCCCATAAGTCCCAGCCTTGGCTTGCTGAGAGCTCAAAGAGTTTCCAGTTGTGGCTTAAAGTATACATCAGATCACGTTGTTCCTCCATGTAATACACTGCAATGGGCTTCCAATAGGAATCCTATCCAAACCCTTCCCATGGCCTATGAAGCCCTATGTGATCTGCCCTCTGTCCACCTTGACCACCTCATTCCATACTGCTCCCCACCCAATGCCCCATTTTACTGCCTTCCAGCCAGGTGGATTTCTCAAGCACAGCCAGCTTATTTCCATGCAGGACCTTTATATTCCCTCTGCCTGAAATTTTCTTCCCTGAGATATTAAAATGGTGGATTGCTCCACATTGTCAGGTCTCATTTCATACATCACTTCTTTAAAACATCTTCCTCTAAACAACCTAAAGCTGCCGCCTTTAGCAAATCACCATTTATCTTCACAGAATACATATGAGATGTACTTGTTTTTTATGTCTCCCCAAGCACAATATAAACTTCCATGACAGCAAGAACACTGTCTGATTCACCACTATACCCCCAGTACCATAACCTAGCATAGCAGCCATTAAGTACTGAGTAGATAACTGATGAGCAAAGGAATCAGTCCCTTTTTCAGATGTAAGGATGGAAGGACATGACCAGATACAAAAACCCAGCCTATCCATGGGGCAAACATGGTTGTCTCCCTCACCACAGACTCACTTCAGTTGTAGCTCCTTGTCTCTGGCCCTGGCCGCATCCATCTTGACCCGAACCCAGAAGTTGACTGGCTCAGCCATGTGTTCAGGGCCACAGGGCCGCAGGGCCGCCAGCCACAAAGTCACCATCTTACAGCCCTGGGCCGGCTTCCCCAGTTTCTTCAAACTCTCTACGTGTAGCCGGAAGCACCTATGCAACTGCAGAGAATGGGAACAGACCAAACTCGAGAGAAGCCAATGAGTCTGCACAGTATGAGAGAACTTGCATGCATGGATGTACACACACACACACACACACACACACAGAGTGGGGGATGGGCGATGATACTCCTGCTCCCACTCCCTACCCACACCCAAATCAAGGCACTATCTAATTAAGAACTAAATACCCTTAGAAGCTCCAAGCTACTCCACGCCCACGCCCATATTCATTGTCTGCACCCATGAAATCTGCTCCTCCTACTATAATCTTTTTCTCAGCAAATGGCACCTCCTTCTCCTGAGTTAGAAATGCAGCCTATCTTTGACCCTTTCTTCTCCCTCCCTAAGCTAGTCACTTACCAGGTTAATCCTAAACTTCTTGCATGCATCCACTTCTTTCTATCCCTAGAACAGATGCTTTCTTTTCCAGCCTAGACTCCTCTAACAGCCTGGCTGTCCTGCTGCCAGTCTCATCCCTTGCATTCCAATCTCCATGGTGATGCCAGAGAAATCCAAAACACCAATCTGATGTCACATCTCCACTTAAATCATTTAAAGGCTCATCACTTCACTCAGGTATGAAACCCAAGGTCCTCTTTGACCTATCCTGTCTACCAATCCATGATTTCATGGGTATTCTTGCTTAAGAGTAGTTCTCACTGACTGTCCAAAGGACCACCTGGAAAAAGTTTTAAAAATCCACATGCCAGGGGTCCAGCACCAGACATTCTGATACAACTGGTCTGGGGCAGGCATTACTATTTTTTCAAGGTTTACTCAGGTGATTCCAATGTGCAGCCAGGTTGAGGACCACTGGCTAAGAACAAATGAGTCAATTAAAGAAAAGTATTAATAAAATGACACTACAGGCAAAGTTTGGGAAACACTGTACTAGACACTGATGCCAACATGCAGCTCCTAACACCATCCTGGCCAGACTCTCTCATGCTACTAAGGCCCCTTGCCCCCATAACCCATTAACGTCCCTTCCTGTCCTCATTGCTTCATACCTTCTCAGGAGGCACCTCAGGATAGATGTCTGGCTTCAGCAAGCCGAAGCGCTGACAGAAGGGCTCAGAGATGGCACAGGCCTCGGCATAGAGCTTGTGACTATAGAAGCTGTAGGCCAAGTTGCTGGTATAAGAGGCTGCAGGGGAGAGAAAGGACAATTGACCTCCGGTCAGAGAGACAATAATATGGGCTCAACTGGAGGTCTGTTCAGCGGCTTTCAGATCAGATACGAACTGCTATTGCTAGGGAATGAAGGAGTTCAGTCAATGCCCTTCATTCCGTTAAGGCCAGCCCACACCACCAGCCCGTCTGCGTGGGCTGATTTTTCAGAGGCAGATCTCTTTCCAGGCTTTTCTTCTGAGGTACCTCTGGATGGACTTGAACCTCCAACTTTTCAGTTAGCAGCCAAGCGCATTAACTATTTGCACCACCCAGAGATTCAATCTCTGCCTAATGTCCCAAGTTTCCCCAAGTGTTTAGGGGTAACACTCTGGCCTCTTACCTCTCTCCTTCATTCACTGCTACTCCTGGTCTCCTTGCTATTCCTTGAACACACCAGACACTCTCTTCATTGGCTGTCTACCAGGGATGCTCTTTCCCAGGTATCTACAAGGCTAACTTTCTCATGTCCTCCAAGTCTTTGCTCAAGTCACCCTTTGAGTGAGGCCTACCCTGATCACCCTATTTAAAATAGTAACCTCCCCTCCTCGTCCATCCTGAGCTTTTAATCCTTTTTCTTATCCTGCTCTACTTTCCCGTTTCCCCATTATTTCTTATACTTTCTAGCATGTTAATAGTTCATTTATTCACTAAAATCTGTTTATTATCTTTGTCCTCCAATTAGAATGTGGCTCCATGAGGGCAGGGGTCTTTGTTTTGTTCACTGACACATCCCAGATACTCAGAATCATGCTTGGCACATAGGAAGTACTCAATAAATATTTGTTGAATGAAATTTCCCTAAATTCTAATAACTCACTCATGTGGCTTCTCAGCTATCAACATAGCCAACTGGAAGAAAATAAAGGTTTCAATCCTCTGTGGAAAGAATGTTCATACTAACAATTTCTGTGACTCCTGATGGTATTTTCATCTCTCTGGCTTGGTTCTACTACTGAGAACATGAAAAATCCCCAGACCCTTCCAATGACAGAACTCATTGGGATTATATGATTTAAGCTGAAGAGCCATGCTTTTTCTAAAATGAGGGAGAAATTTACCATGAAGTATAAAAATAGGGAAAACTAAACTATGATTTAAGATAGTAGTTACTGTTGTGTGGAACTGTGACTGGAAAAATGCACAAGGAGTTTTCTAGGGTTCAAGTCACATAGTTGCTTGACTAACAAATTAGTTACAAAGTGTGCTCAGTTTGTGAAAACCCATCAAGCTATACACTTATGATCTATGCACTTTTCTCTATGCATAATTCAGTAAAAAATGGTGGAGAGAAATGTATAGGCAAGTTGGTTTACACATACATAAAACATCTCCAAAAGGATAAGAAACTAGTAATACTGCCTCTGTGAGGTACTTGGGTGGCTAAAGATTAGGGGTGGGAGAGGGACTTTCCACTGTATGTTCTTTTGTACAGTTTGAATTTTGCACTATGTGAATGGTCTACCTGGTTTCAAAAAAGTAAGTTATAAGTGCTCTTTAAATGTTAAATATATAGAAAGGTCAGAACTTGTATATTAGGTACAAATGTTTTCATGAAACAAATATCAAATTGGATTTCAAAGTCAATAAGAAAGAAATGAGTGTCTGCTGTTACAAATTAGTTTCATCACTTGTCTCCTAGCATTAAAGATAGACTAGCTGATACTTGTAAACACTGTTCTCTTAAACCATAAGGATCAGAACCAGCCAGAAAATGCTGTATATCTTTCTCCTGAGTGATGATACCCCATGAGCCCATATCTGGGCCCAGGATACTAACCAGTCATCCCCAGATAGTCTCTCAGCTCTGGACCTGACAGACCCTCTAAGGCCTCCAGCATCCAGACAACAATTGATTTGCAACTCTCCACCAGCTGGACCAGGTCAGCAAAATCAGCTACCTAAAGGGAGAAGGGTTCGAGGGTAAGAGGAGTTATGATAGGTTCAGAGTGATCTCTACCCCTAAAGCTAAAGCAACCCAAAAGCTCACCCTAGGGCAGTTGAGGGACTCCAGACCTTATGACCCTGCCCAGGTTCTTTGGTTCTCAGACAGTACCTGACAGCCTTGGGCAAAGTCATAAACCATCAAAATGTAGAGATGAAGTCCTTGAAAGTACATCTGAACCAAAGACTGCTGCTGCTTGGATGAATCCCCACAGACCTGAGGGAGGAAGAGGAAGATTGTTTGAGGACCAGAGATAGAGTAAGTTCCAAGTTGAGTTCTGGAGAGCTGACATAGTCCAGAGAGGAGGAGGGACCTCAGGAGTTGCTTGTTGGCTGGACAGGCATAGTCCAAAGAGCATCTTGCTAAGGATAAGCCAGGGCTTCCAGATCTTGCCAAAGACCACTGACTGGTAGTGAATCCATAGAACCATGTCCCCACCCTACCTCCAATTCTTTAACTTACACCATCTCGCAGCTGTAGTATGAGAGAGCAGTAGCTGCCAAGAAAAGCATAGAGGCCCAGAACAGCATCAGGTCCATAGCACTTCTTGGTTCCTCTGTCCAGGCCTGAGAGGAAGAACTGGCAGCTGTCATACAATGCCCGAAGTGGTGGTGATGGTGCCTCCATACTGGCATTCAGGACAGCTGATGCCTTGACCAGAAGGTTGGCCACTGCCTGGGGTCCTCCCTCCTGGACTTGTAGCAGCTCAACTCCCAGCTGGCACAACTGGAGACTAGGGGCCAGATCTGTATTCTTTAGGTAACCATGGGCCTTTTCCACTGCTCTGGTGGCCTTGGTGTGGTGGTGACTCCAGCAGAGACGACGACAGTGTTCCAGGGTAAGCTCCAATAAGCAGAGGGCTCTCTGCGGAGAAAGATGGCCAGGAAAGTGCCCTTCCTCACCCACCAAGACTCTGATCACATACGTAGAGAGCAGGTCATTTAGGAAATCAGCATCTGCTTCACTCAAACCACGGCCACTGGAATCAAACAGCTGATGGGCAGCAACCACTCGGCAGGCTGTTGGAGAAGCAAAGTGAGGAACCTCACAAGGGGTACTTTCATCTTCCAAGAGGACTAGGAAGCTTAAGGCCTTCACCCGAGCTGAGAATGCACCTCGCCTCTCCAAGAGGGCTTCTGCCCCCTTCCAAAGCAGAGAAAAGCTGCCCCGAGCCACAGCCTCATAGTCTTGGGAAGCAGCTTGATGAGAGCATTGTACCAAGCAGGCATGAAGGGGCTGGGCAAGGCGAAGCGTCGCCTCTGGGCTGCCCTGTGTGGCAACATTCCGCAAGAAGATGAAGAGAATGCGTTCTAAGTAGAGGGGAGGGCGCTGGGGAGTGGACACCAAGTAGCCATGGCAGGCCAGTTCTGCCAGCTCCAGCAGGCTTCCCAGGTGCCCAGGGCAAGTCAGGTTGGCAGTGAGCTGCTGATTGCAAGCCCTTAGGATGGCATCACAGGCTTGTCTTCTCTCTGCATCATATCGGCAGCTGAGAGGACCAGCTGGAGGCTTGGACAGGAACTCCTAGAAGAAGAGAAAGACATGAATTGGGCTACCAAAGAAAGGAATGGAGGCAGGGGAAAGAACTACAAACAGGACTGCTAAAGAAAGGGTCACCTTTTTGTCTCTTCCTTCAAAACACCACCAAAAATAATAAATCACGGTCAAGTTTATTTAGCTTACAGCTTCAAGCGACCTCAGTTCTAACTCCTTTCCCCATCGTGGTGGCCACAGTCCCAGGCTGTCCTTTCCATTCCTCTCCAGCAGCCTGCCCAACTCCTCCCTCAGCTGAGAACCAGGAGTATCCCAAGCCAGACAGCTCCCCCACCTTCAACTCGGGCAGCAACTTTTCAGCTTCCTTCTGGCTGCTTAGCAGAGTCCCAAAGTTGACTCCTTTAAAGTTCCTCATGGCGCCGGAGAGCTAGGGAGAAGGAGACGTAGTAGAGAAGGCGCAGATTAGTATGGCGCTACATGGAGGATGGGAGCTCTGGTAGCATAGTGCCTAAGGCACTGGACTGCTAACCAGAGGGCTGGCGGTTCAAACCCACCAGCAACTTCTCGGAAGGAAGATGGGGCAATCTACTTCCGTAGTGATACTGCCTCGTAAACCCAAGAAGGGGTCGCTATGAGTCAGGTCTGACTCATCGGCACATAACAACAACAACACTTGGAGGATGGGAGAAGTGTTTAAAAGGCCGTGGCAGAAGGTAGTGAAGAATCCTATCTGAAACAAAAAATAATAAGTAAATAACTGACAGGACATTGAGTCCCATTGTAAACTGACACCATAGCTTTTCTTTCCACTCGGCCGATCCCGACCCTCATCAACCTAACGTCTCAGCCCGGAAGCCTCCACGGAGCTTTTCAGCGCTCAGCAGGACGTCCCGAGGTCTCCCTATGCTTCCCACAGAGCGGGCTCAGCCTCTCCCCCAAGTCATTGTGCACTGGGGGCCCCATTCACCTCTGCGCTTACACTAACCCACGAGTCCCTCCGGGACTTACCGCCCCAAAGGTCGTCCTACTTCCCAGGTCCAGTCTTAACAGCCAGCGTATCCCGCGAGGCCCCAAAATGTAACCTTCGCTTTTACGCGCCAGCCCCTCCTTTCAAATATCCCAGCAACCAATCAGCGAGAGCTGCATAACGCCGGCGGGCCGCGCGCCTCTCTGGGAGTTGTAGTTTACCAGCAGCACGTCATCGTCACGTGACGCAAGCCTGCAGAGTCCTGCTGCTTTAGAAGTTGAGGCCTCTTGGGGGCGCGGGTAGCCTCCCTTTTACCTATCAGGGCTGAGTTCTAAAGCTACCTGTCGCTTAGTCGCTATTGGAAAGGTCAGCCCCTACCTCCTTCCCCACTTTATCTGGAGAGCTCAGGCAAGAGTTTAAATTCCAAGAGAAGAGAAGCTAGACAACAAAAAGACTTTACGTGGAACTCCCGCGGTTTGAGTTACCAGGGAAAAAGGTCGTAGCCTTTCATGGAATTCTTTTAGAATATATTTTCTAGGGACACTGAAATGAGTACCGTGGCAACCTCCATTCTCCCCGTCTTCCAGCTTTGTTCCTTCCATTGGTTACATGAGGAAGACAGTGGCTCTAAATACATAGAGATACACATAGAGATACATAACACTCTTTAATGAGGGTGGGGATTGTGAACGACTAGAAAGACCTGGGGAAATTCATTCACTAGGATTTTTCAGTCTCAATTGTTTGTAAGTACTAACCACTTCCCGAAACATCATTTCATCTGGCTAAGCTGCTTCTTCCTTCCTGCACCAAAGATTTCAGCTCAGAACTGTGGTAATCCATTCTGCTTTTCCCCAATTAACTCCACTGGGCAATTCGTCCTTCTCTATCATCTTCTTTCTCTGTCATCATCATCATCATTTCAAAGCTGAGACTCTAGCAGGGAAGACAAGTTATTAAAACAAACAAAAAATAATGACATCTCAAAAAAATTTCAGCGTTGAAATGGTAATATTAACCCAAGTGTTAAATATGTGTCACAGACATGACAGGCCTATCTCCTGTAGGGTACAGGACCCAGAAGAGAGGAGATGTTTATAAATATTTGAATGAATGCATCAATTCTCTCAATACTCATTCCTCTTGTTTTCCTTTTAGCAGAGTTATTTACATGTTGCAGAGCAAGTGTTCTAGGATCCCCCTCCCCAATGTATGTGTTATACCTAGTTGATTCTAAACTCCTCAAGGACAGAGAATTTTTCCTTTTCCTTCCTCTACTTCCAAAAAGAAATAGGAAGTTCTGTTAAGTATCAAGAGATCAATAAATGCTCACTGATAGGAATGTGAAGCCCATCATGTAACACAACCTCTCAGTCTAAGAAGCAAGCTTATAACAGGGAGATAGCTCAGGGTGCAGAAGAGTATGAAGGGATGGACACTGGGAGGAGGTAACTATGGGGAGGAAGAGGGAGGGGAGCTGCTGCATTGTAAATTTTGGTCAATGACATGAGACAAAGTATATGTGAACTGCTGTATGAAAAGTGAATTTACTCTGTAAATCTTCACCCAAATCCTAATAAAAAAAAAAAAAAGAAGAAGCAAGCTTATAAAGAGACCACCTAAGTAGTGGAAAGACTTTGGACTGGAGTGTGGACAGAGGAGCTGGGTGCTAGTCCCAGCCCAATTTGTTCTGTCTCTGTGAAACAAAGATAATAACATCAAGCCTCACTACTTCCAGGAGGTTCTGCCAGCTTCCAGTAGAAGCCCCTAGAAATGTTTTCCAAAAGCTCTAATAGTGTTATGCAGCCATTAAAAAGTATGTCTTATACGTACTAACATATAAAGATGTCTGAGATACATAGATGATCACTATCGTCTTCCTGTGGATTTTGTTTTAAAGGAAAATAACAAGATATATGATTATGTGAAAAAGAAGTTGTAGAACGCCATCAATGGTACAGTTTTTATTAATGTACATGAACATATATATATATATGCATACAAATATTAAATCCGGTGAGCTAGACCAAACACTTAACAGTGGTAATCTCTGAAAGGCAGGATTAGGGGAGCTTGTCATTTTTTACATTTTATATTTCTATATTATACTGTATTTATCTATCAATATAATATGCATTTTGATGTAACATTGTATTACCATATTTATATCAAATATGTATGTATGTATTTGTACTTGACTATTTTACAATGAAGGAGCCCTGGTGATGGCAGTGTTTAAGCGTTCAGCTGCTAACAGAAAAGTCGATGGTTCAAACCCACCAGCCGCTCCATCGGACAAAGATGTGGCAGTCTGCTTCCATAAAAATCACAGCCTAGGGAGCTCTGGTGGTGTAGCACTTCCATAATCGACTCGACAGCAGTGGTTTTTTTTTTTTTTGGTAGGGACAGTTCTACTCCATCCTATAGGGTCACTAGGAGTTGAAATTGACTCAACAGGAATGGGTATTTTACATGTGTATTTATTGTTTAAAAAAAAATCTTAAATTGAAGTATTTTTGTAATATTAGATCTGATTCCAAGCATGACAAACTTTTGTTTTATAATTCTATTCTGTGGGGTGGTGGCAGAAAATAATAAAAGGGACAGGGAAGACCACATGGCTGGGGTTAGGGAAAGAGAAATGGGGAGTAAAACTTACACTTAGCAAAAGGGCCATGGCCATTAGCTGGGATCAGCCCCCTCCTCTCCCTGGACAAGGACTAGCTCTCTAAGAAGAGAAGGCCTTAGAACTCAGTGCTGTCCTCCTCTCCCAATCCTCCTGCTCCCTTGTCCATTGGTTCCTGGATCCTTGGGATGTTTCTCTGCTTTCCTTGGGATCATTTAAATGCTTCACATCAAATAATCATCTGTCCAGCTGGATAGAAATTCAGAAAACCAGGAACCTCTTAGAGAAAGATGGTGGTGTGTATCAAGTTTGCCTCCAAGCTGACCTTCCTTCTTGAGGAAGAGGAAATGAGTTCAAGTGGAACATACTGACACCCAACTCAGCTGCTCACATACCCCAAAGTGGAAGACCTCTCAGATAGCTTGCTACTTCCATCTGGGCCAGCACAAAGAATAAACAGTGTGGGGAATCACTCCAGCATTGGGAAGTGTTGGAAAGTTACATATCATTACAGCCTCATCTCCTCATTCTTACACCCAAATCCAGATAGGCTCAGCTGGATTGGAAAATTGACAAACAAAATATAAAAGCAAACACTTCTGTAGTGCTTACACTGTAAGCCAACCACTGTTCTGAGCACTTAACTACAGTAGTGCATTTAATTCTCACAGAGACCCCATAGGGTAGAAACTACACTATCATCCCCATTTTATAGATGAGGAAGCTGAGGCACAGAGATATCCCAACCAGTGGGCTTTGGATCCATGTTCTGAACCATCTCACTGTGCTGCCTCTTAGCAGAATATCATGAGTACCACTTTGTAGAGAGTGTGCACCCGGCAAATATATCACTCACTAACACCATATGGACAATCCCCAAAGTGGACCAGTGTGCCCGAGGCTAGACACTTCCACTCTCTTTTCCTTTGCCTAGAACAAGTCTTGGGACAGAGAAGCAGAGTTAGAGGGGAAAAGGCATATAGGTGATTGCGCATGGGCACAGACAGTGTATGTCATGGAAGGGACACTGGGCTGGCAGCAAGAGGCAAGGTTTAGCCTGAGCTTTACCACCCACTTGCTGCATGATGTTAGGCAATTCACTTCCTTTCTTCAAAGGAGTTTTCCTCTTGGGTAAAAATAACTCATCCAAAAAAAAAATATGTATATATATATATATTTTAATCAGCACTGAGCAATATAATGCATGGCATATAGTAGGTGCTCAAATCAAAATGGTTAAGGTCAAATGGACGATCTCTAAGAAGGCTTCCAGCCCTTAACACCTTTTGAGTCTGACAGGAAAGAACCTTCCCCAGTCTATCTGCTGCCAGCTCCTTTAAAGCAAGTTCAACAAGGACCAAGTTAAAGGAACCTCATTAGTTTGTCCTCCCTAGCTCCCTATTTCATTATCACATAAGAATGTAGGGGCCCCTCACACTTCCAACAGTAAATAATTACTGTTATTCAAAACACAAATCATTAACTTGGCTCTAGTTTCTCGTCTAACAGATTTCCCAAGCAGTTGGTTCTGAAAGCTAGGTATGGGCTACCCTGTCTTCTTTCCACACATGTACTAAGCACACCTACAGACTGGCAAACCACCCATTTGTGTGTATGTATGGTCGGGACAGAGGTGAATAAGAGTATTTCCTCCTGCCCTCAAGAAATTCATAGTATAGTACAAAGAGATGGAAAGTGTACAAATAATTATAAAATATATCTATCTAAAGTCCAGTTCACCAGGGCAGAAAGAAGTAGGCTTATTGCAACAGACTCTTAGACTCAAGGTGATGGGAAAGGAAAAGATACCTGTTTTTTTGACTTACCCTCACAGTCTCTGTTCCCTGCAGCCTGGTAGGCACCTGTTCTGAGTAGGAACCCCGGACCCCCACTCACTCCTCCCCCTCAGCCTCACCCTGTAGAAACCCATCCACCCTGCATTCCTTCAACACCAGCTGATGCTATCTATCTCTTCACACAGGTTGGGACTTGCAGGTCTTGGAACGTCTTACATCTTCTTGTCTGGGAAGCAGTTTGGGACCCAAGGAAAGGCCTTCATCCCTTTTGCAGAACAGTGGGCACCACATGCTCAACTCAAGTTTATTCCAGGACATATCCTTGAGCCTAGCCTCCCTCCATTCCCACCCTTCTTAAGGTTGGCTCTGCTTCCCCTGAAAAGCCTCGGTTTTTGTGGGAGGAGGAAAAGCAGATACAATCAGAGGTGAGGCAGGGAGGGGCCCACAGAACTGGTGTTCCCACTGGTACTGTTTCCTGCCCTGGTGGCTCTCTCACCCTCACTCAGGGTGGGTGGGGAAAAGTCAGACACAGACAAGGTATCTCAGTCCTTTAACCATTCACTACTCTCTCTCCTCTTGGCAGCTATTTATTCAGGTTTCATGCAAAGACACAGGACCTGGTGGGCCCAGATGCTGGACAGATGGTGCATTCATAAACACAGAGGCAGAAGACAGGCAGCATGCATGTGCTGAGCTGTGAGCTGGCTCTTGTAGTAAGAGCCCCAGGTTTGCCTTGAGGGCTGGTCAGAACAGCAGCCCACACCCCTGAAATCTCAGCTCAGGGGTCTGGCATACTGGGCATTTACCCATGTGCTCAAGAGATCATTTCACCCTGGCTGTGGAGCAGGGGTTTTGCTTGACAACTGGGGAGGATGCTGGTCCCCAGTATAGAGAGATATGGAGGACCTAGAAACCTCAGGCCCTTCCCACCTGGTTGTGCTGAGAGGCAATTTCACAGCTCAGTCTGAACTTGAGATAGTCTTGGAGAGGTTAGAAAAACAAACCTTCTTCTGGTAACCCTACCTCCAGCTGATCACTCACCCAAAGCTACTGAGGTGGGTACAGGTGAGGATGAGTAAATCAAATCAATGATCAGTTGAAACAGTTTATTTTAAAGTGGTAAGGGGAAAGGGAGTAACAGAGAGGCAACTTTTGGCACCTTCTTTCCAGTCCATCATACCCATGTCCTCCCCAACCCAAAGCACTGGCAGGAGGGAAGCCAGGTCAGGCTCAGGGGCTGAGAGTCACAAAGTCAAGTCACAGAGGGATCTGTATAGTCCTGGAGAGGCAGGATTCAAGAGTCCATCCCGACCCCCTGATCCTGGAACAGGGTTAGAGCTCAGGAGCATATGGCTCCCCAGTGGGTGAGGGTACCCGCAGTTCAGCATCGTGCCTTACCACTGTGAAGAGCCCCACCACCGCCAGTAGTGCCATCACCATGACAGCAGAGCAGATGCTGAACATGTTCCGAGTCCCCGTTTTACGATCACTGTCATGGAGGACAAGGAGCCCCAGGCAGGCCAAAAGGTGGAGGGGTACTCGGAACCAGTTGAGTACACCAGCCTGCTCTGTCTCAGGGATCACCTTTCTCCGCAGAAAGCTCATGCTGGGAAAGTAGAGCCCACAGGCCAACTCGATAAGAAGGAAGGCTATGAAGGACTCCACTGGGCTCTCCTGGCCTGGGCTGGTGGAGAAAGTCAACATGAAGAGGGAGAAGACAACAATGAGGACAGCAAGGGAGAGTAGGTGCATGGGCTGAAGGTGGTACCTCTTGGAGGTAGCAATGCGGTACAGGCAAGAGCCAAGCAGGCTGGCTGCCATGAAGCTGGAGAAGACGATGCCCAGTGGCGCCCCATGTGGGTACAGCACTGGTGTCCAGAGGAAGATAAAGATGAAGATGACACTCTCAAACAGGGCTTGTATGGTACCCAGCAGCAGCACACGGCGGTCCGACAAGAGGCAACGCAGACCTCCAGCACAAGTCCTTGAGAAGGCACGTTGCCGGTCATAGTTTTCTCCCCAGTTGCGAAGAGCCAAGGTCCCAGCCAGAGCCAATAGAGGGATGGCGGCCAGAAAGGGCGCTACAGGCCCCAGCCCCATCCAGCTGGCCACAGCTTCAGCTGCCACACCTGCCACTACAGCCAGCACATGGTTCCAGAAAGCAACTCGGGCAAAGGTAGCTGGGATCCACTCTCTAGGAAAGTCATGCCGCTCCACGTGCTCATGTATATACCATGCCTCAAAGGCTGAGAAGAGCAGGGCTGTGGACAGTCCACCAAGTGCTCGGCCCACTAGCAGCACAAAGTAGTCCCGAGAAAGTTTGGTTAGGCAGCATAGAGAGTAAGTGAGGGAGAAAAGGACACAAGACTTTTTTCGACCCAGCCAATCCACAAGAGAGGAGGACACTAGGCCAAAGAGGACTGTGGAGGCAAGGCCACAGACATAGAAAATGGCAATTTGACCTTCCAAGAAGTGGTAATGCTGATAGAGTTTATAAAGGTAGGGAGCCTGAAGCCAGTCAGCTGCCAGGGCCAGGAAGTACACTTGATAGAAGTCCAGTTGAAACTGAAGGAAGGAGGGATTGCTGCAGACTCTTCCGGGGGCCTTAGCCCGGCATCTTGACAGCTCCAGCCCCAGGCAGGAGGCCAGGAGGACTACAAAGGCGAGGTACGCAGTCACCAGCATGGCGGGCGCAGGGACGACCTGGGGGGTGAGGGGCAGGGTGAAGAGGGGGCCACAGTCACATCCATTGCCTGGGTAGCACTGTCAAGGCGCTGTGTAAACAGAAGGCAGCTCTACCCAGCCCCCCTGCCAACTCCACTTCCCCACCCCTCAACTCCACTCCCCTAGAGCTCAGACCGGAGGGACCAGTTGGGTGGGTGGGAGGAGTGGCCCGCCAGAGCGGTCTCCAAGGGCCCTGTGCAGAAGGGAGGTGTAAGAAGAGAGAGAAGACTAAGTATTCACCCCACCCTTCCCTGGCATAGCTAAGAGAGAATCCCTTCAATAATTCCGGTCCCGCAGGTTCCAAAGGGGCTGCTGCCGACTTCCACACATCTTTTGTACACTTCCTTCTCTTACTTCCCATTCTTGCCGAGGTGCCTGTTTTTGCCCTCTGTGTCTAGTCATCTGTACCAGGCATCCATTCCGCCCGCGCGGGCCTCTCGAGTTGCTTCGGGTCACACGCGTGCATCTCGTATTCCCTCTCCTCCAGGTCATCTGTACCCCGGCGCCCCCTAGCCCCTGCGCCACACCCGCTCGCGCCTTGCCCAGACCCGGTCTCACCTGCTGCCCCGGTCTGCGGGGACGCTCCGGACGCGTCCGGCTCCAGGCCGCCCGGCCGCCCTCCCCACTCTAGTTCCAGCTCTGGCTCTGGCTCCGGCTCGAGTTCCAGCAACGCTCCCGCCCCTCAAAGCCTGCTTCCGGGAGCCGGGTTGGCCTCTGGCTGCCGCCATGATGGCCCCGTCATGTGACGAGGGCGCGGCGCTAAAGCCCCGCCTCTGTTCCTCCTTCCTGCCCCAAGTTCTGCGCTGAAGAGTAGATCTAGCGGGAGAGGTGCTAGGGGCAGTACACGAGCTACTGCTGAGCCTGCTCTGGCCTCGCTTGCTGCTCCTTCGCGATGTCCACTCCTTCGACTTTAGGATACTTGCCGACTGAAATACAGGCCATTTTCTTTCTTCCTCGGTGCGGTGGATTAGAGACCACTGCAGTGCGCGGGAAAGATTCCTGCAGTGCGGCAGAACCAGGCGTCGGAGCATCCTAAAGAATATCGCCACCCAGAACAGATGGGCTCCTTAGTTTTTCTTTCTACTGCTGTGACCTCCAGGCAAGATGTTAGTGTGGTGTAGACACCTGAGGGCGGCAGTGTGGTGTAAAGAACTTGGATTCGCGCTACAGACAGTCTAAGTCCAAAACCCTACCCCTACCACTTACCAGGTATGTGGCCTTGGGCAAGCCAAATGACATGTCAGTGTCCCAGTTTCTTGGTCAGAAGTCTTAGGAGAGCAGTTCCCAAATAACTAAGACTAAAGTTCAGAGGCAGCATAGAGGGATGGTTAAGAGCTATAACCACCCCCCCCCCAGCTCAACCCCTTCATTCTGTCACCAGATGTGCTACCTTGGAAAAGTTATTTAATCTCTCGCCAGCCTCAGTAGTAACTCCTCCACATTATCTCCTCAAGACCCTCCAGTGGTTCCCATCTCAATAAGCATAAAAACAAAATCCTTATAATGGCCTAGAAACCCTGCTTCATCTGGCCTCTGTTAGTGCTCTACCTCATGTCCTACCATTCTTCCTCCTACTCCTATTCCATCTATACTGGCTGCCACCAGAGCCTTTGCACACATTTTCCCCTGTAAGGTTCTTCTCCCATATAACCATCCACGTGGTTCCCTCACTTACCTCCTAGAGATCTCTGCTCAGATGTCACCCTATCAGTGAGGCCTTTTTTTGCCATTGTGTTTAAAATAGCAACAACACCACCTCCAATACAGTAATCCACCTGCTTTCCTCACAAAGCTCCATTCTCCCTTGCTGGTTTTTCTCCGTAGCATTTAACACCATCTGACACATTATATATGTTACTTGTTTATTTATTCTCCGTAGCATTTAACACCATCTGACACATTATATATGTTACTTGTTTATTTATTCTCCGTAGCATTTAACACCATCTGACACATTATATATGTTACTTGTTTATTTATTTATTTATCATCTCTCCTCCCTATAGATTTTTATCTGTTTTGTTCACTTGCTGTATTTGCAGCACTTAAAATAGTTGCTGGTATGTAATAAACATTCAATAAATGTTGGGGGGATAAATTAATGAATAAATTAAGCCATGTAAATTACTTCTAAAAGTGCTTGGTCCATGTTACCCCCTGACATTTAAACCAACTGCCATCCAGTCAATTCCAACACATGGTGACCCTATGGGACACAGTAGAACTGCCCCCAGAGGATTTCCAAGGCTATAAATCTTTAGGGAAGCAGATTGCTCCCACAGGGCAGCTATTGGGTTCGAACCACCAAACTTTTGGTTAGCAACCATATGCTTTAATTACTCTGCCACCAGAGCTCCTATTAACATTTATCAAACAATTATTATATACCTAAGCTCTGTGTTAAGAAGTCCTCGACCAAGTGCTATTGATAAATTATCTCTTTTAACTGTCACAACTATTAAGGTAGATACTATTATTATCCCCAAGAGTTGGAAAGGATAAGTAACATGCCCAGAGTCACACAGCAAGAGGTAGAGGTAGAATTGGAATCCACATCTTTGAGATTCCATGTTCGTATGGTTTCTAAAAAGATTAAATGAGTTCACCTACCTGTGCAGGTAACTGTCAGTTTTCTTTATACTAGAGCTTTGGATTTCTATAACTATTATGACACCTTCCTGGGTCATTTAGGGAAAAAAAATAAAAAAACATTTGCACTGGTCTACTAATCAGTGCAGACCGTGGCTAAAGGTTGGCCATTCAAACCTACGCAGCAGTACCACAGAAGAAAAAGCCTGATGATCTATCTGCTTTCATTAAGATTATACCCAAGAAAATCCTATGGGGCAGTTCTACTCTGTAACACATGGGGTCACCATGAGTCAGAATTGACTCAATTGCAACTAACAACAATCATCCTGAGTCATGGAGGAAGATGGTAGGAGGGCCTGGGTTTATATCTTGATAAATACTTTCTTATGGTAAAGTAAACAGCTGAGATTTATAGCCTACAAGTTTCAAAGTGCCTTCATCCCTAGCTGGCAAATTTCCAGAGAGTTGAAAGGAGTAACAGTTTCCATGCTTTCATCTAGAAACTCCAAGACTCAAAAATCATATTTTTCCCAAGGTCACTCAGCAAGTGAGGGCATGGAAGACCCAAATCCCTTCCATCCCAGTTCTGGGCTTCAGTCCCTTGAACCCGTAGCACTCAGTCTCTCAGTTCTTGATGATTTTTTCTTTGGAGACAGAGGTCTGGAGATCATCTTGCATGGAGACAGGAGATGGCACAGAATGACCCATCCTTGCCTTCTGTTTCCCAGAAAGGAGAGCAGTTTTCTCCTATTACTGAGTTGCATTTTGCTAAGAAGTACCTGCCAGAGACAGACCAAAATCAAGATTACATTATTTTGGATTATCTTTGTTTATTGTAGGATTTATTCAAAATATGCTTACTCCTTAAGGTTCCTCTGGCCCCTCAGAGCTGTAAAGCACAGCTGGGAAAGGTCCTAAATATGGGAAGTTTGCTATCAGAGGAGTTCAAGGAATAAAAGGCAGCCTCTGAGTACAGAGTACAATCTACCTCCGGGACATACTTCTAGTAGAGGGCAGGAAAGGCTGGGATCTGTGTGGAGGGCGCCACAGGTGAAGTCCTGGCTGTCAGGGCAGATGGGGAGGATGCTCTGGGAGTTCCTAGGAATCATGCTTGCCAGAGGAGCACCATTTAAAATTTTTATTATGACAATGTCCAGATATACACAAAGGTAGAGCGCACAGTTCTGTGAATACTCATATACTCATCACCCAGATTCAACAATTATTAGGATTTTGTCACTTTTGCTTCTTATATGCCTTTCTTTCTATTTTTTTTTTCTTGACTGATATATTTTAAATTACATTTTTATTACTCTATACTGCAGTATGCATCTCCAGGAAATAAGGACCTATTCTTACATTACCCCAAAACCATTTTTACATCCACCAAATTTCAACTAATTCCTTGGCTTCATACTCAATCCATAATTAAATGTCCCCAACTATCTCAAAATGCCTTTCTACAGTTGAGTTGTCCAAATCAGGAACCAAACAAGGGTCACAAGCGCCATTTAGTAGTTAAGTCTTTTTTCTTTGTTTTCCTTAAGTCCTCTTTCACTTTCCCCCCCAGCCATTGATCAGCTGAAGAAAGTGGGTGAGTTTTCCTTTAGAATGTCCCACATTCTGGATGTGTTTGCTTGCTTCCTGTTGTGTTATTTAATTTGTTCCTCCATCCCCTGTATTTCCTATTTAACGGAAGTTAGCTCTAGAGGCTTGATTAGATTCATTTCAGTTTTTTGTTTGTCAAGAATCCTTCAAAAGCAGTGTTGAGTGCTTCATGTTACATACCATCAGAAGGTACAATGGTATCTAGCTGTGCCCCTTTTAAGTGATGCTAAGATCCATCAGTGGGATCTGGTGGTGACAGCTTGATTCCACCATTGTAAAATTCTCCATCAGCCATCATCCTTGGCTTTGTCGATTGATGATTCTCGCTTCAGTCATTTCATTAGGAATTGAAAAATGGTGATTTTTCTAATTCTGTGTTCCTTCAACATTTGTTAGCTACCATTCTTCTGTAAATAAGAAGTCTTCTTGATCAATTAGAGATATTGGGTTTCCCTGCAATATAGTTTATACAGACAGAACAGACAGCATAACTATTTAATTCTTTTTCTTTTTAATTGCCAATTTTCAGAATAGGAATTTAAGTAAAGCATCATTTTAAAAATACAGTTTGGGGTTTTTTAAAGGTTTAGAAGAGTTGAGCAGGGAATGATGGCTTGGATAGTGGCTGGGGAAGAAGGGACTATTCTGGTAACTGTGTCCAGCCTTTGCTCCCTCCAGTGCATGTGGTGTACATGGGACAGACAGACACTGGCAGTCTCAATGTCCTGGCCCTTGGGCAGTAGCTGGACATGACACAGGCCTGCTGTGCAGACAGCTGCAGGACCCAGCAAGAGATAGATAGATAAAGCCAGATATGGGAAGGCAGAAAGAGAGATAGGAAGTTAAAAAAAAAAAAAAAAAACTAGACATAGAAGATGAGGAAGAAAAACAAAGACTGAAAGGGAAATATAAGTGGAATAGATAGAGAACAAAATGCACCCAGAAGCAAAATAGGACAGAAAAGTAGAGTGATATAGGGTGGATAGAAAGACCAAGGAAGGAAACTGACATGAAGACAGGGATTAAGACAGGGAAGAGGGCGAGTAAAAGACATACATGTTACATTGAGTGGAACAAAACTCAAACATCAGAAAAAGACCAGTGTTTGCTGGGCAGATAGAGCCTGGTGAGACCCCTGAGACTATGGCCTCTAGCCACCCTTCAGGTCTGGAATTGAACTCATTCCTGTGGCTCCCAGCAACAACAGACGGGCATATAGGGTGAACATTTACATCAGATAGATAACACTCCTTGGAGCAATCAATCATGGAAGAACAGGAAGGCAGTGTTTGCACAGGGAGACACTGGGGGCCCGGGCAGTGCATAGGAGGGGAAGGACACAGGGAAGAGGTAACCACAGGGAGGAAATGGGAAGAGAGCTTTCACATTGTGGGAAATTGCAATTAATGTCATGAGACAAAATGTGTATGAACTACTGTATGGAAAATGAATTTGCTCTGTAAACTTTCAACCAAATCACAATGATAATAATAACAATAAAGATATATGTTACATTGGTTTTAAATTAGAAGGGAAAATAGATAGAA